CCTTTAAGCAATTTCAGCGTAAGTAAAGGTAAAGGTTTCCTTTGCACATATGTGCTAGTCATTCCCGATTCTAAGAGGCGTGCTCAACTCCGTTTCAAAGCCGAAGAGCCAGTGCTGTCCAAAGATGTCTCCGTGGTCATGTAGTTGGCATGATAAACACCGAAGATGCACAGAATGCTGTTACCTTCCCACGAAAGGTGGTTCCTATTTTTCTACTTGTACTTTTTCATGCTTTTGAACTGCTAGGTTGGCAGAAGCTGGGATAAGTAACGGGAGCTCACTCCGTTACGTGGCCCCAGGAATTCAAACCACCAATCTGCTGACCTTTCTGGTTGACAAGTTCAGCGTCTTAGCCACTGCATCCCTTAATTTCAGCATATTTCTATACAAATAGACTCTATTGAATCCACACTTTATTCAAAGCTCCTGTTCTTTACAAATGAGGACCAAAGCCAACACCCTCATGTATCAGGACTGCACCACACTGGATTGAAAGATCAACAGGTACTTTGGGTGCCATGTTGTAACCCCTTCAATTAACAATTAACTGAAAGCAGTTTTGTCCTATCACAGGATTGGGCTCCAAAGCAGAGCAAGGCAGTTGTACATTCCAAGAGAAAGATGCATTCCTTTTAAGGACAAGAGCTTGGCACATGTGTCTCCGCACTCTGAAGCTCTTTTGGGGTTATGAATAAAATACATGTTTCCTCCATATGATGTGATTTTTAATGGCCTTAACTGAAAGCCACACTAGACATGTTTCATATTCTTATTTTTTAAAAATGAAATTAATTTCTAAAGCAAATATTCAGGCCTGAAAAAAAATCTTTATGGCAAACCCTCTTTGAGAAAAATGTCAAATACAAACACACACACACACACACACACACACACACACACACTCCTGTGACTTTCACCCTGTAAATTCCAAACCGGACCTATTAGCTATTGGCCATCTTCCGTACCTGACAACTAGGCAAGCACTGTTTACTACAACAGCACATTGCCAAGACCGATTCGGTTAGTGCGCCTGCCTAGCTATTTAAACAAAATATCAATCTGACTATATATAGAATTGCTCTGGAAGCAAGAGAGCTGGGAAAGTTATATTCAGAGGGTATACAGCAGAAACACTCCCCAGCCCGTATTTAAAATAGGTTTTTAGTAGCAAAGGTCAAATAACCGGTGTGACCCACCATCTCCTTAAGTGGCACACCGCTCTTAAATTGTATAGTTTCCTGCTGAAGATTTGGACACAAGGCATCTTCATGTGATAGGCTGCCTCCATCAACCCCGGTGCTGGAATTGCCATCTGCTGTTTTTCCAAGATCGGGGATTTGCAAACTAATTGTTCGAACGTTGTACACTCTGAGCAGGATCTCTGAAGTAGTGATTTCAGTGAAGCCGTGTTCCTCCAAAGCTAAGCAGGTCCTTTGAACTTGCTCGATGCAAGGGGAAAAGGAACATATGCGTCCACCTACAACAGAAAAAGGAAGGTTGTGAATGGAAAACCAGCAATGTTAAGAATTTCATCTCAGTCTGAGTTCCTATAATGCTATTTAAAAGCACATTTCTGTGAGCCATTTATTTCCATTCATTTAAAGCCAGTGGGATCATTCTTCTGAAGTAAATTATATAATGACTGTAGTTGCTGGTTTATATAAAAGGAGAGGGAACCTTGAATCTTATACACTGCAGATGGTTGCAGGAATAAGTTATGTGAAATGTACAATTTTATGCATGAAAAAACTTCAACGAATATGCAGGATTTAAATATTTATTTTAAACTGCATGCCTACACCACTGATCTGGTTAAAGGCTCCACAGAACCTAATGGTGCTTGCTGTTGAAAAGATACTTGTATGTGCAGTATTGAACCATCAATATATTTCTGCATCAACTCTATGCCTTGTGTACCTGACTGCCACAAAACTAGAACAGTCTGTAGCTTATTCTTATGCCTTGTCCTTGATTTCTGCTCCAATTGTTAAATTCTTCACACAGATGTTAGCAGCTCATTAGAGGCAGTGACTTTCTCACAATGCCCTGTTGTGTTTTTCTGAGAAGCTCCTAATATCAAGTTTGGAAAAAACAGTGACAATATATTTCAACATGTACAACTCTTTTCTGCTGGGTAAATTTCTTGGAACATCTTGGAAAATGTTAAATTTGGCTCTTTGTTTGCAGTGCTTATTGACAATAGAATCCCTTCAACTATCCTCTCCAACTAAACAAAACGTTTGCATTTCCATCAATCTAATACAACATTTTTGTTTTTCCTTGGCAGGAAGAACAGGACTGCATAACTTTCTTTGCCTTTGTGCAAATCTGACACTCTTTTATAGAACTTTCAAAGCTGCCTGTTTTATTATCAGTGCATATATTTTGTGTTAAATAAAAATTCTTCTTTAAGTCAAGGGTGACTTCTGCTAACAGACTGGACCGGGTACTTTTTCTTGACAACAATCCAGATGTTGTTTGCTACTGCTATTTGCAAGATGTTTCTTTGTCTTCCCAGGTTTTTTTTGGGGGGGGGGAGATGTCTCCCATCAAATATCACCAACTCTGTTCTAACTCTATACTTTCATGGAACTGGATGTTCAAACAATCCAATCAAACTTTCCATCCCTTTTGATGACAGAACTGCATTCTGCTTAACACAGATGTATAGAAGAAATTATTATGTCACTCTAGAATGCACTTAAGGGCTCTTTTAATATAAATAATATAAGATATTTTAGGTTTGTTCATTTTCAAAGAAAAAACAGGCAGCCAGAACTGGATTGAACTATTATATTAGTTTTATTTGCTTTCAGACAGCACAGCTTTTAAAGATATGTTCCTCCCAACTCCCAGTCTAAATCAGATTAGACCAATATAGTACTCCAGGATTCTATAATTTTATGACTTGGCTGGAGACAGGATATTTCAAGTATGACAAGCAATAGAGCAGAAAGGCCAAAGTACAAGAAAAGCAAATAAAGATAATGTACTTTATGGAAGGGGATTTATTTCTAACATTTAAGGAGCCACAACACAGAATAGATTTATTCTGGCTTATAGTTTCACAATTTAAATTTTGCCTTATCAAATTAGATTTAAAACTGATTGTTCCACAGACAAATGTACTCAGATATGGATATCATCTTTTCATCCAAGAGTAAACAAAATGACTAAAAATATTAAGACACAAAAACACAAGAAATATCAGAAGATTAATTATGGGACTCCAAAGGATTGGTCAAATTCTTTACTTTGTCTCACACAATAGGTAGCCCTGGATGGACCATAAGCAGCATGTGAAGGAAAGGAACCTCAACTTTGCTCAAACAAATGGAAATTTTGACC